TGACAATATTTTTATATATCTTATCATTCTAGAAGAAATTTGATTTAGTCGAACCTAGGATGATATTCTTTTTATGATAGAGGATCCGGTGCCTAATGACATGGTTAAACTATTTGGTGGAATCGCGAAAACCCGGTTAAGGAAAATACTAAGAAGTTTTCGAAAAACCGTCGAAAAACCTTTGAAGATAAAATTTTATAGATACAGGAATCGCGAAAACCCGTGTATCTATAAAATTTTGTCTTCAAAGGTTTTTTGAAAACTTCTTAGTATTTTCCTTAACGGGTTTTCACGATTCCACCAAATAGTTTAACCATGTCATTAGGCACCGGATCCTCTATCATAAAAAGAATATCATCCTAGGTTGGATGTGACTAAATTTAATAATTTTTAGTTCTAGAATGATAAGATATATAAAAATATTATCAATATTTGGATCACTAATTTAGAGTACTAAATATATTCTAATTAATTCATAAAACTAATTACACGAGATGGAGACTAAGGATAGATAATCTATTAAGCCTAATTAATCCATCATTAGAGTATATTTAGTTATAGCACCACATTGTCAAATCATGCACTAATTGGTTTAATAATCTCAAATTAGTCTCCATCTATGTAATTAGTTTTGTAATTAAAATATATTTAATACTCCAAATTAGTGTCCAAACATCCGATGTGACAGGGACTAAAAAATAGTCCCTGGAACCCAACACCCCCTCAGTCTCCACAGAGAAATCTGGTCTTTGAGGTGCTACAGCCGGTCAGCAGCGCAATCAAATCGTTCATGCTCTCCACTTCTAGCACGCAAAGCACAGCAGCCCACGCTATGACGCGAACAGGCCAGGTCAGTCGTCAGCGATAGTGACGCGATCACGGTCTGCTCTGGCTCGGCGCCAAGATCTGTGGCGCCGACCTCATCGCCATGTATTATGGCGCCGAGGTGCCTGGCCGAGATCCTAGGTGACGTTGACGTGGCCGGTACCGAGACGTGTTACCTCGGCGCCATGAGTCCTGGCGCCGACCCCTAGGGTCCAAAGATGAGTTTACTTCTCCCAGAGGGCCAAACATATTTTTTTTTCAAAAAATGGCTAAATTGTAAAAAATTAAGGAGAAACCGGGGAGTGGAGTCCTGGCGGCGGCGGTCAGCTGAGTTCGAGGAAGCCGTACACGCCGCCAATGCTTCAACCTCTGAGGGCCTCGCGGCGCTTGAGGCCCGTGACTTGTCCTCCCTCGTGCGCGTCGCCGATGCCTCCGCTATGCTCTCCACTTTCTCTAGCCCCTCGTAGTGCAGCCACATCAGCGCCTCTCCCCCTGGCCGGCTTCGTGGCTGGCCCCGCGATGCGGGCTGGGTCTGAGGCCACTGCATCGCGGTGGAGATGGAGGCGGGGGCGGGGGCCGGGGCAGGGCCGGGACCTAGAACGCACGGCGACGACAGGCCATCCTGTCCGGTCCGCCCGTGGCTCTGTGTGCTCGATGCTCGCTGCCGTCTCAAAGCTGGCGTGCCGCCCGCTCCAGTCACCCCCGCCGTCCTTGGCATCGCACGACAGTTGCCCAGGTTTTCGTTGGGCCCTTCGCCATGTCTTCGTCGGACCCTTCGCCAGCGACGACCAACCAATAGGTATGCCCATCCCTTATCTATTCTCCCAGTTGTGCGATGTCGAGGACCCAAACCCTAGCTTAAGCTATTTCGTGTACTCGGATCTGATCTAATTACAAGCGTGTACATGTATCTTGCCTGCAAAATTCGGTTTTGCTGTAAAAGTTATCGGATCCGCCCCTGCAGTTGGTCTCGGTTTGTTGGTTTCCTCTGTAGAGATGGAGGGTTAGGGAGGAACTAACTTGTTTTTGTGTCTGCATTGGTACCTGGACTTGCGAATTCAGCAGAAGCAATTGGAGAGCTTGGTAAATCTACTGGCAGAGGCAAGTAGGTAATGTTTCTATGCACCTTCCGCTCAGTTTAGCAATATCAAAATTGCTGGTAATTTTGTCTTGTAGATATGTGATGCTAATAATTTCTATCGGTGTGTTACTAATTACAGCTACTGATATAGTGATATATAATCCATAACAGTTTAGTTTGTCTGTTCGTTCATAATTTCATATGGTATGTTATTTAGGTTTTTTGTTATTTAGATAAGTCCACACACTGATTGTAATTGTGCCTTTTGGCAGGTTAGTTTTTTAACAGAAGCTCAGATAGCTGGATCTCCTATTGAAGTTGTTATGAAGTGGTAAATTTTTAAGCTTTGTATTTTAGGGTTTATGATGATAACTTGTTGCGAATACCATGAACTAATTTATTCTCGTCGTTTGTTGCTCTTTGTTCAGGCAGCCAAAGAGATCAGGGATTCAAGATTGAGGACTCACATACTGACTACTATGAAAAATATGATGTCACTTCGAAGGAAAGCATCTGGTAATATACCTCCAGGAAGCAGTGATTCATCTTTTACTACTGTTGATGGCAATAATTCCATGGAACTTTTCTGCATTCTTGGAGTCTGTGAAAAGCAAAAAAAACTGGGGAGGCACTCCTGATTAAAGCAAAATAAATGCAGTGGTCTTTGCTTGCCATGATTGCTTCATGGTTTCCAGATGTAACTCCTCTCTCATGCTTAACTGTTTGGCTTGAGATTGCAGCCGCAAGATAATAACTTGAGCATAGTATGATTTTTTTTTGCAAACAATATTTTAGGGATGCACGTGAAAATAACTTGATATGCCCTTTCCAAAAAGAAGGGGCTAAATTATATTTATATGATATAGTTTGCATTTTATTTTATAACCCATTTTACATTTGCAATTTCATTGTTTATATAAGAACAAAAGCTCACTGCTGTTATTTTCTCAATATTGCCCAGGTTCATATTCCAGTGGCGATGAGCCGATGATACTACCTTTTCTTGTTGCATGCAGTGTCAAACTGCAGTGAGGTATTTTCTTTCCCCTTGCTCCAAATTAGTGCTTGGGTATAAGAATTTGAGAATAACTCACTTGATAAAAATAGACCCTGAATGCATTAGTGACTGAGTTTTTGTTTGATGGCAGAAATTTTGAATGGGTGGGCTCCTTATTAAGGAACACTGGTGTTGCTCTTTCACTATCTGAGTGAAAACTGATAATAGCTTCAGTGGGGTTCCTTTGTTGAATCAGCGAGGTTATTATGTCTGAATCAACTTAGTTAGCCATTGTTATACAAAATGTTTAGGGTCAAGATGGTTGCAGAAGATAGTTTATCATCTCTGAGCTCAAGTGAGGACGAGACAGATTTTGATCCCGTGGATTCCAAAGAGATTCAGCACAACTCAGGATCAGTTTCTGCTTCTATGGAGTCACATCGAAAACAAACAGCAAAAGAGAGAGCTATCAGGCTGGCCCCTAATTTGCAAGTTGAGAGCTATCAGGTTGTTCCCTAAATCTGTGTGAGTGTTCTCTTCTCACTTCACTGGAATCGACATTCAGTTCTTAGAGAACTTGTATATAGATGACTGCACAAACGTGGATGCTATGCTGATTCTTCCTGCTCTATAGAAGAATAATCATCTAGAGGTTTTGTCAATGTCTGGAATACAATGTGTGTGTGACAAGTTTGTGAAGGGGCTCATTCCTGTACATGGTTCGAATCTGAAGGAATTAGTGTTTGCTGGTTGCTTTCAAGTCTTTACAGATTCCTACTCTAGGCAATAGTTTTCTTTTGGAAGTATCAGTACCATAGTTATATTACTATTATGCCAGTATTCAGAAGCAACATGGAGCTGCATATCTGACTTGCTATCTAAATGTAGTTTTATGATTTATTTATTTTTCTAGATGTTACCGTAGCATTAACACGGGCAATATACTAGTATTTTCAAGAGGACATGGAGGTTTTAACCCTAACAAATGATGAATACAGTGTCGCCAAGACCATCACTGCCAAGTGCCAATGACTACACAAGGTGAAAAGAAAAAAAAAATCCGGTGATACAGAAACTTTTTACAAAACACCAAGGTTGACCAACGAACACATATAGATTCAGAGTTTTTGTGGGGAACCAAATTAACCAGCTTGAGAGCCATGAATGTCAGAGATGAATGGCTGCCTGGTTTGGTATGTTGAGAGTTATGAATGTCAGAGATGAGCAGGCCTCAGTCATACCTGTTACATATCTCTTCGCTACAACTAAAAAGACCCGTGTGGTATCGTCTCCACACTGGCATGTTTGGTTGGAGACCTGGAGGACTTGTCTGGCAAAAAGTGTTGCATGAGAGTTATCTGGAAAGTTGATGATTTTTGTCTGGCCAGGCAAGTCTGAAGAAGATTTGTTTGGTTGAAAGTTTATGCCTAGATAGACTAATAAAGATATAATACCATCTTTAAAACATACGTTAATGTTATAATGTATAAACAATAAATAAATAAATAAATAAATAAAAATGATCCACATATTTTCTCAATTAATAACATATTTCAAATTATAAATAAATTTAATAGATTTGCTAGCTATTTAAAAAACATCACAAGAAAAAACGCATGAGAAAGGAAGATAATTGACACTGCTCACTCTGCGAATTTAGCGTGAACATGATCAACGAAAGGGATAAAGAATATAGAAAATATAAAATATACTCAGTACAAAACAAAAACTACACGGTGATATGATATGGTTACCTTTTACCTTGATTACTGTTTCCATGCCAGGCAACCACGTCAGTACCCCAGACAGCCAAACACCTTACAGGCAGACTCCAGGCAGCTGCAAATCCAGGCAAAAGTAGTCCAGGGTCTGATCCAAACGAGCCCCTAATCGCCCCCCTCCTCTACCGCCGCCCGCGCACGACGCCTGTCTTTCCGCCGCCGCGCCCTGCACCCGTCGACCGTCCTCACGCCCCCGCCATCGCCGTCGCCGCCCCTCCCTGGCCCTACCCCGCCCAGCCTGTGCCAGCACGCTCCTCCGCGCCGCCGTGTCCGACGCCCTCCAGCGCTGTCCCATGGATATGCCCAGTGGACAACAATGGCAACCGGAAGTAGGGAGAGCAAGGTCGCTGGGTCCACGCCAAGGTGGAGAACGGGGAGGAGAAAGCGGAGGAGCTTCAGGCTGCTGTCAGAGCATGGCGAGGCAGAGGAGTCGACTGAGGAAGGCCCCTATGGTTGGGCCATCGGTGGCGCGGCAGCCGCCAGGTGGCGGGCGGGCGTGACTGCGTACCACGCTTGTGCGGCGCCGGCGCTGGCATGGCTTCACTGGAACTCAGCCGATTTATCAGCCGCCGAGACCGCTGCGTTCCTTCGCGCCTCCGGGCTCTGAATCGCCGCCTCGGCCTCAGGTGGGACACCTTCATCTACAGAGATGAGATCTGCTTCCATGCATAGATGGATGGATGGATTGATCGATCAGCTACATTCTGCTTGCAGGGGCCACACGGCGTTCTGCGACACTACAGCAGCAGGTTCACGCCTGCTCGTTCAGCAGAGGTGGTGCGCAGCCTCAACGCTTCCAGGTCCCTCAGTTGCAGGCAGCCACGTCTGAGGCCATGCGGCCCTATGTCTCCAAGACGCCGGTGAGCAGAGTGTAGTGGGTATTACCTTCCCTACCCTTCCCATATCCATATTTGTTGGATGATCCATACGCTCCCCATATCCATGCTTTTGGTTCCATATGCCTTATCAATGCAATTTCTTTTTTTTTCTGTCATGTCATCTTCCTTAAGATATTCTCCCCCCAACCATTCAAGGTGCATAAGCAAGGACAACCGGATGCTGGATTCCCTCTTTTGGATTCTGAGTTCTTGCAATGGCCTAGGTTTGTAGAGTTTGATGATGTCAATGGGAAGGTTTTGATTTACTCTGCTCAAGACAGGTATGCTGAGTCACTGACTTTAGTAATAGCTAAAAGAAATTGAATCTTCTGTGAATCCACAAACAGCACTTACAAGGTGTTTGATTTGAAACACTACATGTTACTGTCCTTGGTGTCTGATAAGAATGCTCAGGAAATAAGATCAGGTAATTTGATGTTTCCTTCTTCCTGTGTTCCCTTTTCTTATGTGTTACCATATCAGATACTCTTGATGCTTCTTTCCACTTTGATGTGCGGTAAATTGATTAGCCATCATAAATTGATTTCTTAGTCTGAGATTTTTCTATTACAGATGGAAACAACTTTTGTCTTTTTTCAGCAATAGTGCTACCAACATTTTCACTATACACACAATGATATGCTCTCAACCTTTTTTGAATTGTGCAAGTCTGTATGTATGTTCAGTCATTACATTTCAGAAGCATTACCATTTTTTCCACACTTATTTGAGGACATTAGGTGATCTCAATCTCTGTTTTCACACTGAACTATGTTATCAAAATTGACACAATTCAGTGATCTCCTCTGAAATTGGTCGTGAAAAAAGTGATCATTGGAATTGGCGTGATCCATCATTTGCTATTTGAATCAGAGAGAACCTCAATCTACCGAGAAATTGTTAGCTTTTGCAAGTGTAAATCCAACATAATTATATAAGTCATTATTTTCACAGATATAATTGTCTTGCCTTTTAAAATGATTGAGAGGTACTAAGTAAGCATCATGATGAATTCATGTGAGCATGCTAATTTGGTGTTGCGATAGCAGTTTGGTAAGCAAGATCACTGAATTGGGAAGCACTGAATTGGGAAGCAAGACTGATGGTGATTCTGTATGTGCAAGACTGATGTTGCGAGAGCAGTTTGGTAAGCATGCTAATTTGGTGATTCTGTATGTGCAGGTCTACTCTTAAGAGGTCAAGATCACTGAATTGGGAAGCAAGACTGATGGATCTACAATTGCTGCTTTGATTGTCTAACAGGGTCAGGTCTACTCTTATGCATTATGTAAATAATATGGAAAAAATGAGGACTCATATCAACTTCTCTTTTTTCATGGAAATGGCTGATCAACATGATCACAGAGATATTTTGAAAAGGCAACCTGCAAAAAAAAAATTGAACGTAAGAAGCCAACCTGCAGATTTACACTTCAGCAAAGCATTTTGACATACTTCTCTTTGTAGTTGATATACTGACCAAAGTTTCAGATATTGAAATAGTTCTCTTTGTAGTTGATATACAAAGAGAAGTATCTAACACATACTTCTCTTTTTTATATATATACATATCTGGTGCTGTCTTGATATGTCATCGTCTTTTAGTGGAGTGACATTCCAATGCTTTCATGGTCCTGTTAACGCAAAAGAGCTGCATAAGCTATCCTACCTGGGTATCATCGTTGAAGACAAGAATGAAACCTGATCAGCTTGGACTAACCTAAATGTGAGGTAGCAACCAAATCCTATGTAAAATTTTTTAGAGCTCAAGGGACCGTGCTATTGTCCATATGCATTGCAAACTGGCCTAATTCCAAACATGATTTCATACAGGGAGTACACTCTTGGTTGGCACATAGCCGAGTGACTACTGAAACAAAACAAACCACACCTCCCATGTCTGTTGGACACCAATTCTTTGGCAATTCTTGCAGTCCTGCTGTGAGCCTGTGAGCTTAGACACTGTGGTACTCGTCGTCATCAATTTAACCCGTCACAATCCATTTATTCTGATGAATTATTGGAGCCACCACATTCTTTTTCGTGACCATACCTTGGCACGTTTTTCATTAAGTTGAAGCAGAGTTTGCTACAACCTTAGCTGGTCACGGTAATCCCACGATTACCGACACCAGCGACGGAGCCACCCCATTCTGTCCGATACATATGAATTAGAGTGGATTATAGGGCAGTCAAACAAGGCCTATAGGTTTCAATGGGGCAGTCTTACTAGTAGTATATTTGTGCCTCTGTTATTACAAGATAGTAGAGCGGTTTCTGAAGTTCTACCATGTGGATTATCACATCATGTCACCTGACCACCGGTGCTTAATACTAGCAGCGCATTTTCGGATCAATATCTTATCCAATTTCAGTATTATATTTGTTGTTTTGGATTTGTATAGCTTCTCATACATGTTTCAACGTTAGGATATTTTGATTCTTGTAGCTTATAGCTTCCTGTAAATGGTACAATGGTAGTAGTGCAACATTTGTCTAATTTTTTAACAGACACGCAAGAGAGCACTAATTAGAATTAATGTAGGAAGTTCAAGTACACTGTGTGTCATGCCGCGGCATGCACATGATGCTTAGAGCGAATTTGGTTAATTGTCATTTCAAAAATAAAAGAATTTGGTTAATTATTTGAAACTATCAACCCGCTAGCAAAGTTGATTTTGCATATGTTTAACAGATAGTAGGATATTTTTAGGTACATGCATGCAAAAATATAATTGTCATTTTGTGTTCATAAAAAAGTAAAGATTGTGCCTAGAATTCAACACAAAATTTGCAGTATTTGCACTGGAAACAGCTCAGAATGATAACTTATCATGTTCTATTTGCTGTTTCATCTTCTTGTGTTTATTATTCAGTTCTCCTTTACTACTCCATATCACGTACAGCTTTGTTTTAAACAACGTTAAGAATTTGGTCAAGTCCTTCCTATCTAGTAGGGCGGCTTCTGAAATTTTACCATATGGATTTCAGGGGGAAAAAGATCACTTTATTTATGACAAGCCATACTATCTTCTACAGTATATTAATATTTATGCCTATGACAGACCTGTTCATATGATGTACCAGTTTTTGTACTTGGCACAATGGTAATGCTAATCTTAAACGTCTTGCACGGTGTTTCTGACGCCATTGGCATGCAGGTGAGGATGTCTCTTCTGTTACTCATGTGGGAGCCCGATGCAACCGGGGCTGGACGAAGGAGCCGAGCTGTGCCAGTGCCGCCACAACGTCTATCGTCTCCGCGTCCCCCCCCCCCCCCCCCAGGCGGCGGAGATCAGACAAACCTAAACCTCAACTAGAGCTGCGCCGGCCTACATCGACTCGCCAGAGCCAAAGAGATGGAAGGGCAGCCGACGCGTGCACCAGAAGTCTGACGGATTTGTGGCGGCTTCGTCGTCGTTCTTGAACTTTAAAGTTGCTTCGTTCGTCCATGTCATGCTGTGGGCTTGCCGGACTAGCTAGGTAGCTAGCAAGCCTGAGTATCTGGTTGTTTAATTTCAGCATCTTTTGCAGTTCATTTGGTACTGTTATCTGTGTGTTTTCTGCCTTGCCTCATCGTGCGTGAGTGCTTGGAAGGCGACTTGGTTTATGTGTCAGGTGATGTGCCCATGAGAACAGTGGCTCATGCGACAGTATTTACATTTTGACAGTGGTACTTTGCTGGGTTTAAAGTTAAAACAGAGGTTCGTATCGGATATTTATACCTCTTATTAGTTTTCCCTATATGTTTTTTTTCGTATTTTTATTCTACCTCCTGATATTAGATACCATATACTGCTTCTTTTTTTATTTGATAAACATATACCGCATTTCAGAAATTCAAAACAGGGGTCACGGATGCTATATATGGTTGTGCATGTAGAGTGATTTAAATTAGGAAAAAGTCCAGTCTTTCGGCTGGTCTAATCTATCCATTAATAAGGTTTGTCTTCTTTATTTCTCCATGTGCAAGTTGAGTTTAAAGTTCAAATTTTATACAGTGGTCCGAAAAATGTCCTAAATTATGTTAGAAAAATATATTATGAAATTTTCATTATTGTTTTTGTAGTGTTAATTTATTTTTAGATGCCTAGGGTATAAAAATTCATAATGTATAACACAATTTATGAAGTTCTATATAGCCCTGCAAAATTGAACTTAAAAACTCAACTTATATTTGGAGAAACAAAAAAAAACAATCTTATAGTGGGATAGAATGGACCAACTAAAAGATTTGGAGTAAATTCAACACAAAATTGGTTTAGGGGTTTATCCAGACAATGTTCTCTAAGGGAGGAGTCTATTGGACTTTTTCCTTTAAATTAAAAGCAACAGGGGAGCGCTATAGGTGTTGTGCAAGGTGGCAGCATCATCATAACCGCTCACCCACTTTCTCTATTATATCAGGGCCAATATTACACTGACAGGAAAGAAACTTATCCTGTTGAAAACTACCACAAAGATCGAGCTCGGGGTATGTACTCAAATATATGGAGTGATACAAACTTTTCAGAGCACACCACACAAAGAGGTGATTTAATGGGTAAAACCTAACCATATAGGAGCCTAAAGCTCCAAAATATGAACTGGAGGCTCAAGGACTGAAGGACGTCAATTGGAATATTGCTCACACTCTTGAAACTTAGCTCCCCACAAAAACACTTACTAATCTCTCAAGGATTAGCTCAAGGGGTTGGAGATGTGGAAGAAAAGCATAATGTAATATAATCCTTGTACCATGGTAGTTGAGCCTTTATGAGCTGAGGGGATGTTGTGGTATAAATAGCTCATCCCAACACTTACCAAATGCTCTGGCAAGCTGTCCGACAGTCCAATTGTAAGGATCAAACAGCCTTAAGACGGGTCAAATTGAGTCTCTAAACATTAAAAAAAACGTTAAACTACTAACTTTTATTTCATTCCTTGGCAAGAACTAGCTTTGACACAGCTACAAAAGAGAAAACAAGTCCTTAGGGTTACCAAGCTAAGCCATGTCCTTAGCAAGAACACACTAGCAATAGTTCATAAGATGTTGTAAGAAACTAACCTAGCCAGGGCATCACAATAAGACAAAATCAAATCTAGCATAAGATCCACACAATATCTCAAACACACAAAAAGATAAGCAATGAAAGTAATGCTCGTGGACAGAAAGAGTTGGACAAGTGGCAACCGTATTTTGTTCATGGTGTTGAGCAATTGTTGCTGACCCCTAGTCCATGTTGGAGCACCCACTAAGGGTTGAGCTCCCTCTAGTCACAAACGCTAAAGATCCACCCATTCTCCACTTTAGATTAGCGAGTCTCAAATCAAACACACCTCTAGGAGCCTTCTAATAATCAACTCCTCCAGGAAAGTCACCTAGTCCTCCAACATGATGTTTAGGAGCTAGCAAACTCCAAGAGTAACAAGTTTTGATCTTCAATTCGTCAACCTGCAAGCTAAGAGCAAAAGGATGTACACTATGATCATTCCTTAGCAATCTCATTGACTTGAAGTGCCCTCAACCCCTTCTCAAAGCCTCTCCATGTGTAAATCTTCAGGGGATTCAAGGGAGCTCCAAATGATCCAGAGAACACATATATACATGACATGGGTGAGATCCTAGACGTTGGAAAAGTTTGCTGAGAAAGTCAACACCGGATGATTCGTCATGGCCCATTGAGGGGCACCGGATCATTTGTTGACCTTGCTTTTCTTGTCTTTCCAGTGGCCAATGGTGGAGATTACCTAATATTCATCATTGGATGATACGTTGCAGCCACTAAGCTACGCATCGAATCGTACAATGCACATTAGTAAGCACGTCCAACTTGAACTAGTTGTTGCATAATACCACCACATATACGTAGAGCCCACTAAGGTGCCCTCGAATCATACTATGCACTCTAACAAGCACACCCAAGATGAACTCTTCACAACACAAAGACACTGGATCATTCGCCGGTCCACACAGGACCCTTCACCATATCATCTAGCAAGCAACATTGCCTAACACATAGTAAAACGTAATGCCACCATACGATATGATGGTCTTGATCAACTCATCCAGTGCACTACAACCTTCAAACTTGGATCCATTTGAAATCCTATTTCATCCAACTTGTTTGAAATACTTGACTTAAACTCTATATGTTCCAGGGGTGTTGATCTGGTGTTGGGATAGTAGTGTAGAGTTCTAAGTGTCGCCAACACCAAATCTGCACTTAAAGAGTATTGGGCCCTTAGCCTTCACGAATATCCTTGCACTATACGCTAAATCCAATCATCAAGGACCAAGAAAAGCAAGTAGCCTCAACATGACTAACTCTTTGTCAATAACCCTTCAAAACAAAGTTAGCAACATATCCTTGTGTTCACCAATCATCAAAACCTAAACTAGGAGCCTCAATGTATTCATCAGTCCCTACATGCAAAGGAGCTAAAAGCAAGTCATGTATCGAACAATTTGCTAGATTGTCGAAAATAAAAACCCAAACTAAGCAGAATTACTAGAAGCCTTGCTGGAAATCCTTCAAATGGTCTAGCACCTTGTTAGAATTACTTTGATCAAAATTTGCACTCATCTTGATAGTAAGGTGTATACTCATTTTCATATGTAAAAAATGTAAACCATATTTTAGGCCTTTATGCTATTGTCCATTAAGCAATGTTTGGCTAGGACATTGTGGAATGGGATGGACCTGTCCCTGATTTTGGAATTGAATTGTCCCATTCTATGTTTGGTTGAGGGAATAGGTCCATTCTAGTTTTTTGTTTGGTTGGAGGCAATCAGAGGGGTGGGATGTTGATGCAAGTTTTTTTTGCTGTTAGCAACCGTTATCAACAAGTAGGGGTGTAAATGGGTCAGATATGGATACCTATAGATACGAATATGTATAGCTACATTATTCCTCGTATTCGAATTCGGTTATGAATAGTTCGGATAAGATATGAATGGATATCGAGATTCAAATATGGTATGTTCCATACGGATATTGAAGCCCTTCTATTGCTCGAGAAATATCTGTACCATTTACATCCTTATCAACATGCCACAACTCTCGTCCTCCCTTTAATTACTTTTCTTTTTTCCTTTTTATTTTGAGTGTGCCTTATCTTCTTCACATGTCGCTCGCCTCCCCACCCCTACCCCCCACCCCCACCTAACCCACACCTCGAGCCAATGGTCATTGCTAGTTGGGCCTTCCCAAGCCACTGGATTTGGGTCAAGATCAGGAGTGTAGGGAGATGGGAAATATGTTTTCTTTAAAAAGTTATTTTTAACTAAAAACACCAAATCATGAGTCAAAAGTCTAGAGTACCAAAAAGATACACGTATCTAAGTAAGAAGACAACTATACTAGGGTGCCAAGTCCGAAAGATATTATGTATCAGAAAGATATACATCTTCATAAAGACGATCATACAAGGATTTTAAAAGAAATGCAACCTAGAGTGGCACAATGATATGCAGTAAAAAAAGATGGCCATCTCTACTCTAAAAAGTGTGGAGCGCTTACGTTCACAATTCATGGGCGTGCCTTCTCACCGAGACCTAAGGGGAATATAAAAACATGGGGAAAACGAGTATAGCATGCATTATGTTCTTCCAAAAAATCAATTTGAACTAGAAATGACAGATTATGAGGCAAAAGTCTAGAATGCCAAAAAACACTAAGACAACTGCTATACTATATTGTCATGTCCTAGACCGTCACAAAGATATTACGTATTAGAAAGATATACATCGTCATAAAGAAAGATATACATCTTCATAAAGACGATGATACAAGGATTCTAGAAGATATGCAACCCACAACGGCACAATGATATGCAATAAGAGAAGATGGCTCTCTACTCTAAAAAACGTGGAGCGCTTACATTCACTTCATTGGCATGCCTCCTCCCCCCAACCCAAGGGAACAAAAAAACATGCAAAAAAACAAGTATAATATGCAATATGCTCTTCTTCCAAAAAAATCATTTTTAACTAACAACATAAATTATGAGTCAAAAGTCTAGAATGCTAAAAGGATTTGTGTATTTAAGAAGACAGCTATACTAGAGTGTTGCAAAATATATCTAGAATGTCACAAAGATATATGGGATTTGCTATACTCCAAATTAAGATATCCTTCCGGCCATGAATGTTGACCGTTCTTTTCTAATCCAACGGAGCAAGCGTCTTCTTCTTCCTCCAGCCTGTTGTTTTTTTCCGCGAACTGATCTCCTGACGAACCGCCGCCGCCCACCGCCCCGCCGCGATGCGGTAGCGTCTCGCCGGAGCTCCACTACCGCGCCCGCGGTGGCCTCCTTCTTCTCCTCCCACCGCCACCATGGCCATCGTCGCCCCCGCTCCGACCTGGCCCGGCCGCTGCCGCCAGAACCCTAATGTCATCCCCACTGCCTGGCCAGCCCGCCTTCCCCGGGTAGCTCCTTTTTCTAAGGTCGCTGAAGATCTCTGAAAGCCGACCGCCGCGGCCTATCCACGTCACACCAGAGAGATGGAAGACGCGCGTAGAAAGGAGGAAGGCGCGCAGGGAGGAAGGCGCGTGGGAGCAGGTAGCCTGAAATCGTGATCGATTTCAGGCACATGAAGTATAGGATTTTGTGGAAATATATGCATCTTTGGTAAAGATGATCATACAGGGACTTTAAAAAGCACAACGATATGCAATGCGACAAGATGGCCAAGGTTAGAAATATAGGCATCACAATCAACTAAACAAATGGCCCGTAAGCCCATTGCAGTCCATTTCCTTCGTGTTTAAGGAAAGAAAAAACTGACGAAGAAACAACTGTCGACGACTTGCACAAAGGAGTCCACTACCTTTTCGGCAAATCTACCTCGCATTCCCCCTCCTCACCCCCCACGGCCCCACGCACCCCCATCCCATGGCGAACGCAGCGGCCGCGCCTGCGTGCGCCGCCTCCGACGACACGTACCTGCAGGAGCTCATCCGCGGCTCCGTGCCGGGCCCATCGTCATCGCGCGCGCGTGTGGCGCCGCTGACCGATGACGAGATCGGCTGGTTCTGCTGCGGCATCTGCACGGAGAGGCGGCTGGTGCTCGATCGGTTCCGCGCCGGCGCGCGCTGCGCGCACGATTTCTGCATCGAGTGCGTCGTCCGGTACATCGAGGGCCGCGTCGCGAACGGCGCGGTGCCCGTGCCCTGCCCGGCGCCCGAGTGCCGCGACGGCGTCATGCACCCCGAGGCGTGCAAGAAGCTGGTGGACATCGACGTCTTCGACGCGTGGTGCGTCGCGCTCTGCGAGCGCGCCGTGGGGCCCGCCCGCGCGCGGTGCCCCTACAGGGACTGCGGCGAGCTGGTAGCACTGGAGGCCGCCGACGGCGTGTTGTCCGAGGTGGAGTGCCCCACGTGCTCCCGCGCGTTCTGCCTGCAGTGCGAGGAGCCGTGGGACGAGCGCCACGGAGGCGGCGGCGGCGACGGCCGAGGAGGGTGCGTGCTGGCCGGGCTCGCCGTCGGGAACAAGTGGACGCGCTGCCCGAGCTGCCGCGCCATGATCGACAAGATCGACGGGTGCAGGCGCATGCTGTGCAGGTAATTATCCGATTTACGTACGTACTGCGCATTCTTCTCTTCAATCTGTCTTCCACCTGTCAGTCTTTCTTTCTTGGGGATCATCAAAATGCGAGTCGAATTTTACTGCAAAGTATTCAATCTACGAAATCGGTAATACTAGGAGGCATTCAGGTACGAACTGTGCAGGCATCTGAAACTCTTCAGTTGGCTGGCCTTCAGTGATGTTGACTTGACCGATGACTGGACCTTTGAGGAAACTGATCAGCATTTTACTACCTTTGGCCTTGTTTAGATTGAAAAAAATTTCAATCCGATGAATTATTTTTTTCGTCATATTTAATGTCCATAATACGTATTCAAAATTAATGTGACCAAAAAAGTAAAAAAACTTAAATTTTGAGGCCATCTAAACAAGGCCTCGGTAATACTAGGAGGCATTCAGGTGCGAACTGTGCAGGCATCTGAAACTCTTCAGTTGGCTGGCCTTCAGTGATGTTGACTTGACCGATGACTGGACCTTTGAGGAAACTGATCAGCATTTTACTACCTTTGTGGAGTGGAGATCGATCGTGACAACTGCCTAACATCCGTCTGTTGACTGCTTTTGAGATGTGCAGGTGTGGCACTAGCTTCTGCTACGTCTGCGGCTCCCCTGTATCAGAGAAAGGTTGCAGGTGCTTTTTCGCGCAAGAGGACCCTGCTCTTACTCTGCAGAATGCAGGATTTGAATGCAAGTCAGGCGTGTCGATCGACAAATGTTGAATCGATGGAGGTTAGTTATCCATTGCATATGATGATTCTTCTTGGCCTTGTTTAGATCACCTCTAAATTTCAAATTTTTCACTCTCTCTCCATCACATTAATTTTTAGCCATTTGCATAAAGCATTAAATGTAGGTAAAAAAAATAACTAATTACACAGTTTAGTTGGAAATCACGAGATGAATCTTTTGAGCTTAATTGGTCCACGATTGGATAATATTTACTAAATAAGACGAAAGTGCTACTATTTATCGGGTTAAAATTTTTTGCAATATAAACATGGCCTTGGTAGGGAGAGCAAGACTGCAGATTTGCAGCAATAGATGTCTGAAACATGTTTCAGAACTATAGTACTAGGAGTATTGAGGATAGCATGTGTGTGACATGTTCTGTGAATTGTCTTTGCTCTTCAGTGACAATTCCACCGCACATTTTTCATTTGAATGCTATTGCTATGCATGCATCAGTCAAATGTCAGCATTTTTATGTTCAAAAAAATGCCTGCATTTTGTGGGGCAGGACGCGCATGTTCTTGACAGTGTCCACAGTTCGTGATTAGCAGATGAAGGGAGCAAAGTGCCATGGACCGATCTAGAGGTCCTACTATTTCAATTCCAGATTGACCTAGTCCGTGGTCTTGATTGGATGCGTATGTATTCGTCTTAATCCACGTGTGTTGAAGTGAATTGGAATAGAATTAAACTAAATTATATTTCATTTCACTTCAACACATATAAATTGAGGTGGATATACGTGCATTGAAACGAGGCCTAACAGTGTTGGCTATGTTAAGCAAGCTTGTTTTGGTCATCGATCATGCCAGACCAAGTTCTCAGCGCCCACGCTGGGCCCAGTTTTGACAAGCGTAGCAATAGAGTTCGTTGCTCGTCGACAGCACTGCCACAGGCATATGAAAGCTTTAAAAAAGAGGAAACAAGATCCGATATCTATTGGACACACTAACGCGTACGTGCAGAGTTTTGACTCATCGTGCATGCGGCAGTTCGATTGAGCAGAAAGGAGAGATGCCTTTGGTTGGCAAAACTTCCAGACTGCCAGATTTTAAGTAGTCTCTAAATTCCAAGGTTTTAAATAGCCGATTAAATCATTTAACTTTCTATGTCCGAAAACAGGCTATAGCCAATTATAGCGAGCTATAGCGGTAGCTAAGATCTAATTTGTATATAGAAAAACTTAGCTAAATTCTTCTCAAAAATAGTTGATAGCCGGAGATTTAAAACCTTACTGAATTCCTGATTGGTTGTATCCATGTCAGGTCATCCATCCTCGCCATTTCTCTGCGCGGATGGCGATGGCAACGGTCGCCTGCACCGAGCCATCGAGTCTACTACTTTCATGTATAAGTCTTTTTTTTTAGAAAATGTATAAATCTTTTTTTTTTGTGTGTTTAGAAACTCTCTTTGGATGCCGCTAGCCATGGAGGGAAGACAACCTAGACGAGACGACGGGCCATGCCTGATGCGGTGATGCCCCGCCGGTTCGCCGATGAGGAGGACGAAGGCGTAGGCACCAGAGTGCTGTTTCGCGTGATAGCTGGGCCCCCGCGCTAAAGGATCCAGCCCACGCGGCGTGGCGTCACTGCGAGCTTGCGGCTTGTGGCCTTGTGGGGAAGGGTACGAGTGACGAACTCGGAATTTTAGTACCAAACCGGCCAGCGAGCTTACTCAGCACGGCAGAATTTTTCTATCATAATATTTTAGCATAAACATCAACTTAAATTAAATTTTAGTATAAGCGAACAGGACAGTAAACACCATATTATAAGCTCAGCTACTGCCACCACAAACTTGTGCACCCTGGCCCTAGGCGTCCAAATCTTCTTTTATTCCCATTATTATTTTTATTTTATACCGACTTCATTCGGGCATCCATTCTCTTTCATCTCCGGTATCTCTTGTCGCTCTATACATGGAATTCCCATTATTATTTTTGTTTTATACCGACTTCATTCGGGCAACCATACTCTTTCATCTCCGGTATCTTTTGTCGCTCTATGCATATAGGCAACTAAACAAGGATAGCTTGCACCACTATAGCCTGTCCAGATTGGCCAGGCTCCTTAGAGAAGGGAACCTTGGCGTCTAAATCCTAGCCAGCAGTATCTCTTACCGCTCTATACATGTAGCTAACCAAGCAAGGATGGCATCCAAATCCTAGCCGACGGTATCTCTTACCGCTCTATACATGCAGCCAACCAAATAAGGATGGCTTGTACCACCGTAGCCTATCTAGATTGGGCCTGGCTCCCTAGAGAAGAGAACCTTGACGTCCAAATCGTAGCCGGGCACCTATGCAAGCGCTCTTGGCACGTGGCCCTAGGCATCCAAATCCTGGTTTATAACCTCTTTCATTTGCCATGGGGCATGTGGCCCTAGATGTTTGGTTGCTCGTATATATGAGAACTAGGATCTAGAGATGCAACTTTAACGTGCTTGGTTGCCTGCACGGGAATCTAGACTTGGCTCACTAGACACAAAAGGCACGCTACAGCAAAAGGCAGCCCACAGCCTGGATACGAGATTTCATTTGCGTTTCTGGCGAGCCAGGCTCGCATGCGTGGTGCAGCGCAGATTTTCTTAATGATGATATTATCGTGTGATTAATGTATATTAAATGATACTCCATATTAGTGTATTTTAAAGTAGATTAGGTTATTAGAAGTAAAGTTAGGACTACTAGAGTGTAGTTACATAAATGAAATATTATAAAATTACTTGTTTATATATTTTTATTTTATACGATGCGGGCAACTAAAGCGTATCTCTCGTCAGCCAGGCTCTATAGATGCAGTTATTGCATCACCGTAGCCTGTCCAGCTTGGACTTGGCTGCCCTATGCAATGCAGGCTCTCTAGATAAGGGAACAAACGCCCCCTAGGCGTCCAAATCCTAGCTAGGCACCTGCGCAGGCGCTCTTGAGCACGTTAGCGTTCAAATCCTCCTTTATACCCTCTTTCATTTTCCATGGGCCACGTGGCCCTATGCGTCCAAATCGAGGCTCTGTTCGGCTGCTCGTAAAGCCGCTTGTGTTGATTTATACGACTGATTTGTTGGGAGAGAAAAATATTGTACCATGACTTATAAGCCGGCTTATAATGGCAGCCGCACACTCTAGGGACTCCAGGGACGCCAAAGTGATGGTTGGGCCTGCGGACGCACGGTTGATGGTGTGGCCCGGATTCAAGCCCTGACGAAGAAGTCGAGGGCACGTGTATGGGCCAAGACGAGGCTTTGAGCCCATGTTTAGTTAAGGCCCGTGCCGTCCGGCTCAGGAGTTGTCGGCATTGGGCATTGGCATTGATTGAGGCCGGACCACCGGAGCCATGCAAATGCGGACTCCTCACATCCCCAGCGCCCTAGCCAGCCTCAGCCTCTGCTTATTCGGTGCTCGCCGGTGGCTAAGCACGCTCGTCGAGTCATCGACGACGAACACGGACCAGCGGGTGAGACGGCGGTAAACCGACTCCTCGCCGACTGACTACCGCGCCCGTACCATGCACTGTCGTCGTCTCGTCGCAGCAACGAGTAGAGCACGTAAGAACGTACCTACGTATATATCTTCTTGTCGGGCCGCAACCGTTCGTGAGAAAAAAATCGAATTTCCCATCGACCCGAGCACAAGTCGGCTATAGATATTGATGAGGACATCCCTTCCATTGATACAACCACACCTATTGCACGACAAGGTCCGATGACAAGAGCTCGAGCACGACAACTTAATTATCAGGTAAAGTCGTTCCTCGTTGTTCATACAAACTCGTCTCAGAATTGGATGCTACTAAATCATGGTGATGATTGTCTTATTCTTAGGAATGTTGGTCAAGACCCCATTGCCTCATGTTTAGACCCCATGATGAGGATGGAGAAGCCGAACAAGTGAGAATCATCATTAATGGGGCGCTCAGCTTATCTCGAGACAGCAGGAAACACTCCATCAAAAGTACCATAACTCCTTGATACGAGATCCAATAAAGCTGGTTCTTGACTTGTTGGAAAGAGCGCGTCGTCCTCTTTCAGATGGGTCCAACCCTACTATCAGAATCTACCAAAGCTGTGCGCAGCTAGCAAAAGGACGCACAGACCTATAGCTTGGGCCTGAACCTTGTACTAACTACAACCCATTGAGGGACGCCTAGATTAGGGTTTCCCACTCCCCCTTGTGCTCTCCTCCTTATAAATAGAACCAAGCAGCCATCAGAATGAGGGTGGGTTTTGTTTAGATGCAAGATAGCTGCTGCTTCTTCCTTGTAAACGCGTGTGTCGGCTAGACCACCCGATTTGCTTGTTTCAAGACCCCAACTTGTGATTCAGATTCAGCCTTTGGCTTAAATCCGTGAGTTGTTTGCTTGTTCATCTTGTTCTTGCTTGTTCTCGGTTGCTTACAGGTTCATGGTGTTCTTGGCACGGCAAGAACATCACAATCAGAGCTGGTGTACCTGTTGCTAAGGCGCAGCAACCTTGTGGTCGTTGTAGTCGGACAGCCAACGTCGAATCCACCCCAAATCGAGTTTATCCACACTCACCAAAAGATCAGGAACAACCCATTGTCCCATCATGTGGTAATCAGAGCAAGGTTCTTTGGTGAGTGATTTACCGTTCATTACTTTACCTATAGTCCAGAAATATAAAAATTGGATAGAACTGAAATTCCAAACACAAGTTTGAGCCTTGCTGATCTGCTTAGTTCTTTGCTTGTTGAGTTTGTGGTTTACATTGTGGTGTCAAGTGCTAGTTCTTAGGTTCTAATCCTTTAGAGTTTCGAGTTCTTGTCACATTTCAGTCACCACACAATCCGATGTTGCCTTTCCCCCCACTTCAGCCGCTGTAATCTACACCAATACCACCACCACCACCACCACCAAAAGCACCGCTGCTCTCTCCACCTTTTCGCTGAAACCCTCACCACCATCACCTTCAGTCACGCCTACACAAACACTACCTTATGCATCTGTCCTTTTGGTGCAAATCTGAGTACACTCAG